TGATTGATTCTGGAGAACTGAAACCACAGCTAGTAAAGGTATCTCATTCTTTCACAACAGTGCATCCTGGCCAAGATAAAGACAACCAATGTGGTTGATTCTGGGAATTTCATTCGTTCATTCATTCATTCATTCTGGAGAATGGAAACCACAGCTCGTAAAGGTATCTCATTCTTTCATTCACACCAGTACATCCTGACCAAGATAAAGACAACCAATGTGATTGATTCTGGAGAAGGGAAACCACAGCTGGTAAAGGTATCTCATTCTTTCACACCAGTACATCCTGACCAAGATAAAGACAACCAATGTGATTGATTCTGGAGAAGGGAAACCACAGCTAGTAAAGGTATCTCATTATTTCACACCAGTGCATCCTGGCCAAGATAAAGACAACCAATGTGGTTGATTCTGGAGAAGGGAAACCACAGCTGGTAAAGGTATCTCATCCTCTCATTCACACCAGTACATCCTGGCCAAGATAAAGACAACCAATGTGGTTGATTCTGGAGAAGGGAAACCACAGCTGGTAAAGGTATCTCATCCTCTCATTCACACCTGTACATCCTGGCCAAGATCAAATATCAACCAATATGGTTGATTCTGGTGAAGGGAAACCACAGCTGGTAAAGGTATCTCATTCTTTCACACCAGTGCATCCTTTGCCAAGATAAAGACTACCAATGTGGTTGATTCTGGAGGAGTGAAACCGCACCAGTATTTCAGAAATATACTAGTGTGTCAAGTAATGGAGGGCAGTGTTGGAGACCACAGTGGCATAGGTCCAAGAATTATAACCTGGGTGATTTCATTCATGCAAACCCATGGACACTTGATTCTGGTTCAACAAAGGATGAAACTCCCAAATTAGGCTGCAAAAGATAACACAATCAGGTATCTTCCCTGGTAACCTTAACAGCAACATCCACACTCAAGAGGCCATTGTAGCCACCCAATCACCATTTCAGTTGTCTTTAGTTATATATTACAAGCACTGGGAGGATGAACTGTCTCATCGTTCTGAGTCATAAACATGACAGTAATGGTGAACAACAGGAGAAACTGAGGAAACACTAATTGGCCTGAAGTTGTTTACACTGTCTCACAGGGTCATGTGGTTGTACATTACTTCCTTTGCCCGGGAACTAGGATGAGTGGGTACGTATCATACAGGATATAGTCAAACAATCACAAGTATAACAACAACTCCCAGCATGGTCCCCATTCACCATTCAAACAACGTATCATCGTACAGGCGGTGTCCCTTGAAACACAAAGCATACACATATATCTATCTACATCAATATATATTCACAGAAGGGCAATTTGACCTGCAAATATAAACATCAAACACTATATGAATTATCCCAAATTTCAAAACAACCATAACGTAAACAAAGACTATTCAGTACTTCGGTGGCACTGTTTGGATATTTGGGTTTAAATTAGCAAATTTTAAACCTTTTTATAATAAATATTTTAAAATCTTTTGAAATCTTATTGGGGGTGCATCTTCAGTCTAATTTATCTAAAACATATGAAATCGTAAAAAAAAAAAGTTATTTATTTTCAGGCATGCTTTTTAAATTACAACATTTTTAGCTGTGTATGGAATCTTCTGTACAAAATTTGCACCACTAAACCAGCAGCTAAAACAAATTGGGAATACATGTATATATCTTCCTGTCTTACCCTACGACCCATAAAAAACAAAGTGATGCTGCTTTGGAGCAGACAAACCTAAAAAAAAATCGGGAGGACCGGGATTCAAACTCGCAACATAAGATTCTGTCATTCCCAAGGGACGTAACTCTGTACTGCACATTGCAGCACCTTAGACAACCTTAGGCCACTCATGCTGCCCAAACCTTCAAATAAATTAATCAAATATCCATGATATACACAACATATGCATATACATCAACTGCAACATACTGGGTTTTGTAACAAATCGGGAACAAATATCATGCAATGATATATATATTTATGTACAGACTTTGGTAACATCTCAGACAGAGTCTCACAATTAACAAAACTGCAGGACTATACACATATAATACATAATCAATCTGGGCTGCTCTGCTAACCTTGCATTCATCAGTAGTTGAAGGGGAGTAGCTTTTCCTTCGCGTGGTCTTCATTTTAAACATAGACAGTCGTAAAACACTTATTGATGTATTTCAAGCATTGTGTTTTCAATACAAGGTTCAGTTAAAAATTCTAGATATTTTCATAAGAGGATGTGATTTTCCAGTAAAAGCTACATTGTCTGGCTGGTTGCAAGTTTTCCTGAATCAGTGACCTGAATTAAACTCACACCGTGATACAAGTGTCAAGTGATCAGGAGGACAAGTTTTGTTTGTTTGTTGTTTAAAGCCCAGTTCAGCAATATTCCAGCTATTTGACAGCGGTCTGTAAATAATCAGTTCTGGATCAGACAATCCAGTGATCAACAACATGATCATCGTTCTGCGCAAATGGGATACGATGATATGTGTCAACCAAGTCAGTGAGCCTGAACAACCAGATCCTGTTAGTCGCCTTTCGCGGCAAGCATGGGTTCCTGAAGAAAAATTCCCACCCGGACCTGCACGTATGATGTTTCACTTCTTCTGGCCCCCAGAATGGTGATTTGGACGATCCTGAATATTGCTGAAGATCAAATCTAACAGTAAACGAGTTTGGTTTAACATTAATTTGAACAGTATTTCAGTTCCATCCTTGTGTATCTGCTTTGTGTGGGAATTGGCCCAAAGTAATGGAGGTAATGGCTGTTGTCCACTCTGGTCACACCCACAAACAGGAGTATGGTGCAGACAAACCTAAAATTTCAAGATTCAAACCTACAATTATAGTTTTGTTAATGCTTAAGGGAGACAACTCTCTACTCCAAATTTCGATGATTGATCAGCCTTTGTCCAACCGATTGCTAAAAGCCCAAGGACTGAATATCCATTACCAGGTTTACTGTCATTTCATTCCAGATCACTGAATGATGAAAATTTCAGGACAGAAACAAATCGATATTCAGCCCCAATGTGATATTACTTGCTTTGCTCACAACATGAATATTTACAAAAACATAATAGTGTGTGAATAACATGGCTTTGGATGGCTAATCATTGGATGAAGAGTTTTGTTGGATTACTGGATCATCTGATCAACATTCTATAAAAACACACACTTTTGTTGAATAAGAATGTTTGAGAATATTAAGTTTTATTGGATGATATGTGTGGGGATATGTTTTGTTGAATGTGAAGGTGTGGCAATGTGTTTTGTTTGATATGAATGCGTGAGAATATCATGTTTTGTTCGATATGAATGTGTGAGAATGTCATGTTTTGTTTGATATGAATGTGTGAGAATGTCATGTTTTGTTTGATATGAATTCGTGAGAATGTCATGTTTTGTTTGATATGAATGCATGAGAATATCGTTTTGTTTGATATGAATGAGTGAGAATATCATGTTTTGTTTGATATGAATGCATGAGAATATCATGTTTTGTTTGATATGAATGCTGTGAGAATATCATGTTTTGTTTGATATGAATGCGTGAGAATATGGTTTTGTTTGATATGAATGAGTGAGAATATCATGTTTTGTTTGATATGAATGCATGAGAATATCATGTTTTGTTTGATATGAATGCGTGAGAATATCATGTTTTGTTGGATAAGGTGTGGGAATATCATGTTTCATTTGAAATAAATGTGTGAAAATATGTTTTGCTGGATTTTGACGGTGTGGGAATATCATGTCTTGTTTGAAATAAATGTGTGAGAACATGTTTTGTTGGATTTGAAATTGTGGGAATGTTTGATTGCAAATGCACATGATTCATAAGCCACACTCACTAATGGCCCTGTTTTATGTTCTGTTTCTGTAAAACTTTTAAGTCTTGACAATCCAGTGATTGACATCAAGATCATCAATTCCCACAACTCGGATTCAATGACAAACAATACACCAAGTCATCCAGACTGACCAACCAAACCATTTTGTTGCCACTTATAACATGCACAAATAGTGCAAACCTATTTTCTTACTTAGAACACCCACGGGTTGGTGTGGGGTGGGGTTCCAATAGCAAAATAACAATCATGCTTATGCAGAAAAACTGAAACAATTTTCATTTATTACTCCCATGAATAATCAGACGTGTCTAGAACTAAAATATGATGATTAAATGCTCTTGAGCAATTAAGTATCATTAAGCCAGTAAGACATGGTAGGACAAAATTTAATAATTGAATGATGCTGACATTGGAAATGATTACATAAACAATACACTTTTGATCACAGATAAAAAACACCTGACATATATAATTCAGTGGAAAACAGCACAACAGATCTGTGACATGACATGCCACAGAGGATATAAATATTCTCTAGTTCTGTTACCATGGAAACTAGAAATATTTGATTGATTCTTCAACAAAAGTCTCAAGTTTGGAAATGGATGTAATATGTACAAGGATATGAAGGATTTACACTACCATCCTGCATCAGGTCAAGAAGAGTTATCTCCCTTCATATAAAATGGAGGCAAACATTTTAAACACAATCATTTTAAACCACATTTCTAGTAAATGCAGGCAGTCTGATATGTTCTGTTCAGTCCTGTAGTCAACAGTATCTATCAGTTGATTATATTCAGATTCTGTGAAGCTACAACACAAGGCTACATATATTAAACCAGAATCCAGGCATACAGGCAGCATTTCTTCACATTATGATACATGTTTTAAGGACAAAATACCAATCAGTTTGAATGACACCCCAAAATGACCTCAAACTGGCATATTTTTTAGAAATGCTATGGAAAACATAGAATCAATGTATAATTTTAATAACTTCCCTCTATAAGGGTTGTATGTTGGTCTATACAATAAACTTTGTGCCGATACAACGTCCTTCTTAATGATAAAGTTACACTACAAAATATGGTCATGAAAATGTGACACTCGTAAGAAAGAACTGCTCTCAACATGCTCAATGATCAAAGGGTAAATTCTAATGGCAATTTCAATTCAGTGATGGCTTAATCTCAAACAAGCAATATGTTCATCCGAGACCAGTATTAGGTGATAACAGCAGCTTTCAAACATAGGTACAGGAAAGGGGTCCACTAATGTCAAAAGATACAGATTTAGCAGGTACAAATTCAAGTACTGGATTCACATACTACATATGATCTCAAGAATCTTAGGACCCACTCAATAGAGACTATTGTCAGCGTTCGAAATACCTGCCTGCCCGACCGCCCGGGACGGGTTATTTTCAACACGGACTGCCAGATTCTCAAATTCACCTGCCGACGGTTGGGTTAACATTTGGACATGTATTTGAAGATATTCATCATATTTCAGGATAATAAATCATTATTAATTCATCATTAGTAATAAATCATCATTAATAAATGATGAACTCCAATTGGATGATAAACTATGTCACTTGTCAAACCTAAATTATTTGCGGGCAGGTAAGTTTTGGTCAGGGCTGACAAGTTTGACATCTAACCAGCCCTCTGGTCTGGCTGAAAGTTTTGGGAGTTTCATGCCCTGGTAATGTATGTGTATCAATTCATGGCTGATGGGATAGAGGCATGGAGGCAGATACCACAGGGTACCATAAGATACCAATTATACTTGGAATAACTCTGTGTATCTGTTAGAACCTGACCATGTGAAGAATGATCAGAGGCAATGAAACAGTGACCGTACAAGTAAAATAATTTCGATTATCAAATTTTATGATTTACTATTAATGAGAATGCAGAATTCACTTTGCGTTATACCATAAACTACGGTCATAATGAACTAAAAGGGACTACTCATTATCACCAAAGTTCATTATACACATTTTGACTGCAATATACAAGTGTCTCAGGGCCCAGAAAACAGTTTGTTTTAAGTGTGTTTGTTATAGACGTAGTCTATGGTATATACATTTGAAGAAAATGACGTGGGTGGCTGGTTAAGGGGTAATTCTTTGACCTCAGACTATGACCTCACTGTGGGACTAGTGCATGCTGGGACTATATCTGCATCCACTGAAGGATAGGGCTGAAAAGGTATGCTCTTACCACAGTACGGTATGTATTGCAGTACAAGGTCTTTGGTTCGGTCCCTTTCAGTTCGGTATGTGAGATATGATGATAATGCAGAACACTGACAACATGAGCCAAACTTTAATAATAATAACCATAATCTTTGTTATTCTGAATGAACAAAACTGTCAATTTATGGCTAGACAGAAGCACAGTACAAAAACAAAAATAACAAATTTTTGGGATTGCATTGCAGTATACCGAACTGAAGGCAAAATACTGTGGTTCTACTAATAACGCAGTATACCGTTTCACCCCTACTGAAAGATAAACTGGGAAATGAAAATATAATCTGTACCTTAAAATTGTTTGGATTATCAGATTTACGGATAATTAATCATGGGTGTGCAGGAAGTCACGTGTGCATAATTTTGAAGAAAATGGTCTGGCTGGCTGGTTCCAGAGTAACCCTGTTTCTCCTCATGTTGATCAGCAAACCTCCTCAGTGTCTATCAAGATGGAAGTTTTCTTCATGATATATTACAATGTCTGTTTGTTGACAGCAATGACTACACAAGAGCACAACATCAACCTCAGTTGGCTTCAGGGAAGTCCAAACCTCACCCACGCCCAGCAATGTCTGTGGGTGACGATGATGCGACCTGGTACACTTTGAACATGCTACAGATTGGACCTAGTGGGGGTTGTTGGTCATCTGACGGTCATCAGCGCTTCACACATCACCACGGGAATATCAACATGGATGCGGGGATGACTCAGTTCCACCTCCCCCTGAAACAAACAGCAGGAATATTAACGACAGTGAGTGAGTGAGTATGGTTTTATGACGCTTTTATCAATATTCCAGCAATATCAAGAATGGGAAACCAGCAATGGGCTTCACACATGTGACCCATGTGGAAATCAAACCTGGGTCTTTGGTGTGACGAGCGAACACTTTACCCACTAGGCTACCCCACCACCCCCTAATAACAATAGAGGATGTTATGTGTACGTGAGATGGTCTCACGTTACATCTACAAGTGAGTACCGGAAAGAAGGTCACCTATTCATGAGACTGCCCGAGAGGGTCAATTATCAGGGTTTTACCTCGACTCACATACATGGGGTTTACGAGGATCAGTTTTAAGTGAGTGTGTGAGTTTAGTTTTACGACGCCTTTAACAATATTCCAGCAATATCACGGCGGGGTACACCAGAAATGGGCTTCACGCATTGTACCCATGTGGGGAATCAAACCTGGTACTTCAGAGTGATTAGCGAAAAAGCTTTAACCACTAGGCTACCCCACGGCCCCTCAGTTTTAAGGGTCCTTGATGACAATATGACGGTCCTGTGAAATAACAGATTATGTGTATGTTTCTATAATTCTTTAGAGCCTGGAATGAATCATTGATAATCTGGACTGATGGATGAAATGATGCACGTAACTGCTCTGAAAGAAACAACCAAACACTTAGCAAAGTCATAGATGTCTTGTGGGTACAGTGAATAATATTGTGGGTCCCTCTGGATGCAGTGAATTGCTCTGCTGTGTCCATTCTCTACATTTGTGCATACTGGATGCACATTTACGCATCACATAAAACCCTGCCTGTACATGTGACTGCCTGAAAGGGTCACTTATTCATAGAGGTGACTATTGAGGGAGAAACAACTACTGCGATAGCGATAGTCTATTGCGACCAACTATTGCAATAGGTTTTTTTTCTCCTTGAATTGTCTCATTTGAAGTCATTTCCCAAATAAAGGTATATTTTATATGAACTAAAAATAAAAGCTGAAGTAGTCTCAGTCTCTGTTGGTAACTGACAAGGAACTTGAAACCCAGATCAAGTTTGTTTAAGAGGTAACAGGGGCGGATAACTCTAAATCAAAGTGAACGAATATGGTACTTCCTGTACTTTGCACTGCTCATTTATCAACAGAAGTCAATTACTAAACTATCGATAGCCACACATACCATTGATGCATCGATAGCTTTTCGTTTCTACCATCGATTATCGGAGCTATCGGAGACTCAACAACTGCAATCCATCGATAGTTCGATGCATCGTTACAGTCCTACTAAAGAATATGCTAAAATTCGCCACTTTGAGCATATTTTGACAAACATGATTTTAATATTTTCTAAAAGCTTATTCATAATAGAGGTATGAAATATATGTCATTTTTCAGGCACAATAAAGAATGTTTGTTTTCACACTGAACATGTCTACTTTATTCAACACAAATATAAAAACATCCGAGGCTGACCTGTTGCTAGGAAACAGGAAGAAGATAACAGATGTGATAGTCAATTTTACAGTTGATGAATGGTAATCGTAATTTTATCAAATGGCAGCTGTTACCGTGGTCAGTGAAACAGAAACTAACATAGGGTCTACTATCTATAATGTAAACATTTTGTGCTTAAAGGCACTATATCACACCACACTTCTCTAAAAATAAATAATGCATTTCTCTCAATAATACTATCAGCCCTGAGGGAAGCTACCATACAAGTTATTCCAAAAAAAAATTACATACATATTTACATCACAATATTAAACTAAAAAGTTTGAATGAATTAATGCAACGTTGCACTAAATCGACTCTCACACCCTCTTTCAAGTGAACACCATACAGTTATGTAATTGTACAGAGGCCCAGATAAGCTGCGCATCTGGGTAAAATACGCATATAAAATTTCCAATTACTCATTGAAAAATAATTGTTGCGTACCAATTACGCATTTAAATCTTATCTGGAGCTCTGATAGTACACACAGCTTGCGATTGAAACCAGTTCAGCAAACACCGACAACACCACGTACAACAGTTTCCGATGTAATTGTTTACATTCCATATATGGCAAGTGTTATCTGTTTGGAAGCTGTTCGCCTCTAAGTTTCAGTTATTGATTTCAGGCAAGTCGTAAAGGATAATTAGTCTTCTTTTGCATCAGTAGGAAGGTAAAGTGAGTCATATGTCCCAATATATACAATATAGTATTAGGTGAAAATATTGTCAAAAATGTGTGACATTGTGCCCTTAGAATGTTTCATGCTACTGTTAGCAGCAGCATCTTCAGTAGCTATATGTATATGTATATGGAAAATTATTGGCTCAGCTTAGAACCAAATTTTACATGACCCATCTTTGGACTTGTGGCTAAGGTCGTGGACTGAAATGAAAAATACATCAAAATGTCTACCAGCGTTTGATCAACCTTGTCATGCAACTTGGTGCATACTATCACTGCCTATTTGTATGTTTGTCGTTTGACTCCTCACTACAATATTCCAATCCTAAGCTGTAAAACATCAAGTTTGTGCCAGACAATCCAGTGATTGACATCACAAGCATCCATCTATGGAATCTACCAAGTCAGCAAGTCTGACCGACCAATCCCTTTAGTCTCCTCTTATGACACACATGGGTTGCTGTAGACCGTTCCAGTCTGGTTTGGTTTGTTGTTTAACGCCACACTCAGCAGTATTCCAGCTATATGGCGGTGGTCTGTAAATAATAATGTCCGGACCAGGCAATCCAGTGAACAGCATCATGAACATCGATCTACGCAATTGGGATACGATGACAAGTGTCAACCAAGTCAGCGAGTCAGACCGATCCCATTAGTCACCTCTTACGACCAACATGGATTGCTGAATACTAATTCTAACCCGGGTCTTCACGGGTAGAAGCCTGGTCTAATCTTCACGGGGTTTAAAGAGGTCAAATAGCTACTATCTAGACAGAAAACAGATTCCTTTTCAGTTTTCATGATCCACAAACACATCAAATGCTCATCAACATAAAAATAAATTTTCAAAAAAGCTCTGCCATAGATGACACAACTACCTCTGTAAACGAAATGCAACATAAAATATCTGCTCTCTATCAACATATTTAAGACATATTCAAGGCATCTAAACATGTAAACAAAATAATGCAATCATTGATTTTTACAAACATTAACATAATCAATGAAAAACAATTCATCAGAATTTAAAAATGTAAATGGTGAATAGATTCTTAACATGTTCCTCCCAGTATAGAGCCACCCTGCAAGCATCATGATATACACTGCTAACGTACACCTGGCGATACAATGCTGGATATCCATGGGTCCATCCATGCTGTAATTTTGTATTCATTTTCTAAAAGTAATATTTCACCACATGCAATAAAAGGTTTAACCAAACCTGGGCTCACATCATTACCCGACATGTCACCATGAATAGCTGCAAAATTGCTGATGCTGCATAAGCAATACTCACTCATTCATTACCCAACATGTTAGAAGTGTCTCAGATTCTTGGCTTCTTTCAGCAATTTTCAAGCAATATCATTGTAAGGGAGACCAGAAAACTATATTTTGTTTTGTACCAATGTGGGGAATTAACATGGGCTTTCATTATCGCAATTAAAATTTCAGAAAATCCTGAATTAAAAGGACATTCAAGTAAAACACTCCAAAAGTATTTTTACTTGGGCTGGCTATCAATCTAGATCATAGAGACTGATATTATGATAATCATTAACTAAATATTGATTGATTATTGATAATATCAAAGAGTGAGTGAGTGAGTGAGTATAGTTTTACGCCAGCAATATTCCAGCAACATCATGGGCTTCACACATTGTATGTGATTAACCGGGTCTTTTATTGTGGCGAACGCTTTAACCATAGGCTACAAATAATATAATATCAAAGAAGTAACTTTAAGCAAAAATGCAACAAAAGTCTGAAAATTAATATATTAAACAACTCTGGTAAGTGTTAATAACAAAACAGCATCCTGAACATAATTTAGATCCAGGCCATGAATAACATCCCAACTTAGTATATCATGTGAGTAAATTAAATTTATTCATCACAAAAGTTTAAGATACGATCAATGTCACAATTTTCATATTCAAGAATTACCGGTAGTATTTTTTCTTATTACTGATATTACCAATTATCGATCATTATAGCCAGCCCTTATTTATACTATCCTGTTGGAATTACTTTCTTAGTGGATGTCCATACATTCTCATTCCAATAACTATTGGTAAACTATTGGTACCTGTGGAATCAAGTTGTTGCGCTTGCGCCTCATGATACACCTCTTTCCTACTCGCACTTCTTCATAAAACTCATGAGCCAGGTCACCATCTTCGTCAAAGAACATCGAGCTGGAAGACAACACAGAAATTGTAGCAGACAAAATTTTGATATAAGAGGACCTTAAAAAGAATCTCTTGATTTACGGATTCAGTTAGCTGAAACTAAAACTTTCTGACCAAAAAATATCAGTATTGCAAGACACTATTTCATTTCAGCATTTTAATCAATGACTTACCAATACATGCTTGTATATGTACTAAATTAAAGGCATCAACATGGATCATCTTTTTCACTGACAAATGATATGAAATACACACCATAAGTCAATGATGAATAATCATATTGATCACATTTCCATTTAGTCTAAAAAATGTTTCTCCAGGCTCAACATGAGAGATGGAATCTTTCACTTACTTTGTTTGTCGATATTTTTGATTTTTCACACCCATGGTTTTCTTTATTTAAGTAATATTATGATGCAATAAAATGAACCCCTTAGTTTGGGGGATGATCCCTAGTTTAAAGGAAAAATGGTGATCCCTGGAAAATTTCAGGTAGAATAGACACTGCTGTGTTTTTCCTAACAGAAAAGTGTTATAAAACACTGGGATCAAAGAGGATGCCACGTGTGACATTTAAAAACATGTCTGTCTTCATAAGGATAACTAAAAACTTACCGGTAAGTTAAATGAAACTTTAAACTTGAAAACAGTGAGTCATAATGTTGATATCATGAGGTAAAGATTTATTGGCAGATATTAAGTGCAATTGTTTCAATTTCCATTCTCTGTCAACATGATTCTGCTAACTTCCCTTCTGTCATATGCTTATGCAATGAGTGATAACACAAAAGCATTATCTAGGCATGCTCTGGGTATAAGACAAAGCAAATACTCACATTTTTACTAATAATAGTAATATTAATGTTCTGTTTTCAGTATGTCACTTAAAGAGAACCAATATACCGTTAAACAGTGACTGAGTATGGTTTTACTTTGCTCTTAACAGTACCAAAATAATGAGAGGGGTAGCAGAAATGGGTTTCACACATTGTAATCATGTGTGGAATCGAACCTGGTTCATTGGCAAATGTTTTAACCACTAGGCTACCCCACCAATACAGAGAAAGAGGCAGTAATGCTTAGATTTGAAATTATTACACTGTATGTAATTAAAAGATATTCACAAATGTATGAAAATATTGATTAAAAATATTCCTAAAAAGATATGTATCAATATTCATCACAATAATTAATTATAAACAGTTATTCATCTTGAAAGTTATTTATCATGAATTTTATTTTTTTAAATTTAGCAGCTGAAAGTGTCTTATTGTTGCACATGTGTAACAAAGGCAAAAAAAGAATATGTGAAAAGATTAATAAAATTTGGGAAGGTGTAAAACATTATTCACAATCTACCACTTCACTGATTAAATGATTATCGTGTATTAGGACATCATGCCATAATCACCATATCCTGCAGTCTGTGGTACTAATGACAAGTTCACCCTTAGTGAATTCAAAGTAAACAAAATTTACAACATTCAAGTTACACATAACAAAAGCACTTAATATTTTTGTTATTTATCAAATAAATGTTACTGGACCTATTTGATGACTTTTTTCTTCAAATTGTGAATTGACATTACTGCTTCATTTTCAAAACAAATCTTCAATTTAGCTAGGATGACAATCAATCAGTGATCACGAAAACAACCTCCTCTCTGCCCCTGCTTTATCCGCTGCGTAGAACTTGGCCTACGATTTTAGAAAACGTATCAGTTTCGTATACAGCATGATCAGTAAATTGTAATGTAGATTGGAGGGGATTGCATCCATGCATATCGATCGTTGAATGTTGATATATGAAATAACACAGAATGGTAGACCAACCTTTGTCTCGTGAGGACAAACGGCGAGGGGCCCTTGTAGTTGGAAATGTCTACTTTCTTGGTGTCCCCTTTTCTCCCCCACATCCATGACACGGGTTGTGCGATCTTACTGGCGATGGACGACGTTGTTTGGCCCATTTTAACACGGAATAACTATCCACATGCGGACTGCGAGTCCTCTGTGACCTACACAACTTTTCACTAATCTATCATCAGTTTCTGCTCTCTTCGACGATATTATCAACAACTGTCTGGTGAGAATATATTCGCTCAGCTGCACCGGAACCGGATGTTTCCAGAAACTTCTCTTCTTTGAAATTAGAGTTATTTCCCTTGTATCGTAAGCGGGCACCTGTCAGGCGGCGATGGAATGTTTTTTTTGGTGGTCATTTCAGTGATTAAAAAGTCTGTTTAACAAGCTATGGAACTTTGAACACTATTATTTCATCCAGTATTTTTAACCTAGACTACTTTTTGGGGGCCTGTTTCAAAGTAAAGAAGCTGTGAATAATTAGATGTCACACCTTGTAAAACCGAAACCGACTGACTTCAAGTGCTTATTGACTTCAGGTTATAAACATATTATTTGCTTTCAGCAATATTCCAGCAATATCATAAACATATTAATTTATAGACATCATAATATTTGAGTTTTCAGTGAGTGGGATTTAATATCACGACAGGGAATACCAGAAATGGGCTTCACACATTGAACCCATGTGGAGAATCGAACCCGGGTCTTCGGCGTGACGAGCGAACGCTTTAACCACGAGGCTGTCACACTGCCCTGAGTTTACAGAGTGTTATTAACTGAACTGAATTAAATCTGCATGACATTAATTCTTAATTAATCTTTCTTAAATGTAACGTCAATGCAAAAGAATACCAAGTCTTAACTATCTTCTAAAACAGGTTCCATTTAGTGTAAAGGGAAATAACTGCGAAAACTATACGTATGGACCACTGAAAATTATTACTGACATATATGGTTTTCGTGATAAGAGTAAGGGTGTCCTGCCTGTATCTTGCACCAACTCTAATTATACTTTACAGTTGGATGACAGGAGTGGGTTTAGTTTTACGCAGCTATTAACAATAGCACTACGAGGAACACCAGAAATGGGGTTCACACATTGTAACCATGCATGTGGGGAACAGAACCCGAATCATTTGCATGACGAGCAAACGCTTAAGGGACCGTTCATAATTTATGGCTAGGGGGGGTGATGATGATTTTTATGGAGAAGCATGTACAATGTGAATGCCCCCCCCCCCCCAAACAATGTATGTACAAAATAAGTGGAACCTGCACACACACACACACACACACCGCATGCCATGTATAAAATCAATTAATTTTAAACATACTTTTATGTACAAAATTGCTGACCCCCTAGTACGTGTGTACAAAATTGCTGACCCCCTAGCTCCCCAGAACAAAATGGGTGACACCCCCTTAAAATCATCATCACAACACACACACACCACCACACCACACACAACCCCACCCCCACCTAGCCATAAATTATGAACAGTCCCTAACCATTACGCAATCCCCATCGCCCCATATGCCAAAAGAAGGAAGCGAAGTATAGGATTGTTTGACACTTATTCCTGCTTTTACAACCATATGTAGAATATGTAGCTGCCAAGAACCAGTTATATTTTGTTTTCTTACCCCTTCCATCTATACAATGCTGTTTGACTGTGTGTGATTGCGCGAACGCACGTCTGTTTTTGTGCGTGTGTGTGTGCGCGTTCGATAGTCGCACCGAAGACTGGATTGTGATCCCTGTACAATGTGTGAAGCCCTTTTCTCGCGTCTACCGCCGTGATATAGCTGGAATATTGCAAAAAGTGGTGTACAAACCATACTCACTCGCTCACCGTAACAGTGTAATGCAATTTACATTGTAGTGAGTCAGTAAGGTTTTACGCCTATATTAGCAACATGCCAGAAATGGGCTTCACGCATCGTACCTGAGTGGGGAATCGAACCCGAGTCTTGAGGAACTCAACGTGCATTCTGAAGTTTGGCTTCAGTTGTGAGTATTCAGTAGCCTGTCATAGAGACCCTAAAACAAATATATCCAAGAAAGCCCATGCAAGTTTAGAATGTGGCAAGCCAAGAAAATGAAGAAAGTCTCTAGGTTCCTTTACATTACATTATATTTTATCATTATAATTTAGGAACTGTTTTGGGTTTTTGTTAATTGTTATCATTTCAGAGACTATATGTTAGTCCTAGTATTCGGCAGAAAGTTGGATTTATACTCATGCCAATAATGGTTGTCACCCCCTCCCCACCCCAACCTCACACACACACACACTCACACCCCATCTCCAATAAAAAATATTGAAGGGGGTGACAACCATTATTGGTATGAGTATATTTGCAGTCGTATGAAATTCAAGTATTTATCAGAATGTAAAACATTATAGTGAAAACAACACACAAAACAAAAAAACATTTGAATTTAAATTTGGTCGTGAATTGTTTGGAAACTGTACCCTTTAACGCTTTGCCCTTAACAACTTCATATTGTTTTAAAGTTGGAAATTGCGGAAATGGAAAGTGTTTAATAGTTTAATACGTCCATAAATGGCACATGTCATTTCAACCTTACGTGACCAGGAAGTTCTGAAACGATATAACCTCTCTCAGATTAACTCAGCTGTATCTAAGTGTAGAGTAACCAGTTAGAATATAATACATATACATATTTGGTGTCACAGATATCCCAAAGCGTTACTCGGTAGTTCTCACACGATTTCAGACCTAACCCAGCTATTTCAAGTACTCCTTGTGATGCCACATGCCTGACGAGAATCAGACTGACATTTTGTCTGAGGAATACAGTTTATTTTATTTCACAATACATATCTACAGAAAGAAATGATTAAATTCCACAAGAACCCCAAGACAATTGTTAATTTCTTGAGCTGAGGTTATGTAGACTTGGTTGGTTGATGGTTTGTTGTTTAACGCCGCACACAACAATATTCCAGCTATATGGTCTGTAAATAATCTAGTCTGGACCAGACAATCCAGTGAGAAAAATCATAAGCACTATCTACACATTTGGGATACGACATGTGTCAACCAAGCCAGCTAGCCTGACCACCCGATCTCGTTCGTCGCCTCTTACGACAAGCATTGGTTACTGAAGACCAATTCTAACCCGGCTCTTCACGGGTCCAATGTAGACTTGAGAAAGGCTTGTAGACGTGCGCTAGACCGTCTTTTTACTATATTCCGTAATGTCTTGGGGTCAGACTAGACGCACATGGCAATGTGTTGTTGTGTTGTCCGCGTTTAATAGGTATGTAAGGTTTTACTATAATGTTTTCAACAGCAGTGCATCATGTGAGAATTACTCGGTCATGATCGATATAGAATATACAATAAAAATATATTTATGTTTTACATAAATAGAACGTTCACGTATCTTGACATATCTGTTGCACAAATGTTGTGCAAGGGCACATGAGTCTCTTGGTCGAATATGAAATTACATCCGCGTTTTGATTATAGTTCTTGTGATGTCGGAATTGTTCAATGTCCATTGTTCTGGATGCCGCTTGTACTAAATATATATATTTTGTTTTGAAAATATTTTATTCAGTGTTGAAATGGATTGGGCACAAGTTATGTAACTTATTACCGCCCGCCCCCATCAGAAACATGAACAATAATGAATGGACGTAATGAATGGACATAATAACATTAAGACATATTATTGATTAATCGAAGCGCTTACTTCGTACAGTGTATTTATGCACATGTCTAAAGATATTTTCATTAATAGTATTTGTCAGAGCAGGGTTGCCGTAAAGAATGGTATCAATGTCTAAGTGAACTTTTGATAGTTCAAAGTCTTGCTTCAGATCAAAACGGCAACTGACAAATTTTGGACATTTTAAAAAGAAATGGTTAGCATCTTCCATCGGAGCACCACAATTGCAAGCTCTACTCTCTGATAGATTAACACGAAACAGATCTGCATGTAATGAACTACACGAATGTCTTAACTTCGTGTGTAGTATATTTGTTTTTCTGTTACCAAATAGAAAATATTTTGGAACCTTGTCATTTTTTCCAGGTAACTTTGATTTAAACGATGATAATGAATTTGTACATTTTGTTGTAGAGGAGAGAGCATTCCATAAACTTGCAGAATCATAAATAAATGACTTTTGGAGAATTGAGGTGCGAAATTTAGGGACAGCCAAATCTGATTTGTTACGCAAGTTGTATCCGGAAATGGTTTCAGTAAAAGGTGGAAGTAAATCAATCAGGTAATCAGGAGCTTGCATGTTAACAATTTTGTAGAATGTACAGAGTTTCCTTTGTGTTCGTCTAACTTTCAATGGTAACCAACCAGTTTCACTGTATAAAGTATATCTTGAAGCGAATTTAGGCAATCCGGTTACAATTCTTGCTGCTTCAAGTTGTAACATTTCAAGGTTATCACAAATATAGCTAGGGCAATTATCCCAGACCTCAGATGCATATTCTAAAATAGGCCTAATATACATTTCGTACATACTAGAAATGATATATCTAGGTAATACGTACTTTAGCGTCCGTAATGAGGAAACAATTTTTGCGGCCTTTTCTATTACAGCAGATACATGATGAGACCATTTTGTATTATCTGAAAAGAGGACACCGAGGTGTTTATGTTGATGTACACGTTCCAAATGTTCATTATTGAAAATCAAGTCAGGAACTTCCGGACAATTTCCATTTTTAAAAAGCATGAATCTGGTCTTGTTCGGGTTATCATTTGTCAGCCCATTCTTTCAATTTTGCTAAATCATAGTTAAGAGTAGCTTCTATGGTTTTGCATCTTTTCCTGCAACACCAATTGAAGTGTCGTCGGCAAACAGTCTTGTGGCATTTGTTAGAGTTTCAGGTAAAACATTGATCTACACAAGGAACAAAATTTGACCAAGGACAGATCCTTGAGGAACCCCTGCAGTAACATTTAATTCTTTTGATAATGCACCATTGATGGAAACACTCTGTCGTCTATCTGATAAAAAGTTTGTTAACCAACTAAGTAAATGGCCACGAATACCATAATTTTCTCATTTGTGCAATAGCCCTTTATGCCACACCCTGTCAAAGGCCTTTGAAATGTCACAAAAAATCATACAATAAAGGTGATGAGTATCTAGAGCTGAACATATATTGTGGTAGATTTCAATGAGTTGAGATGTGGTAGAGTGGTTTGTAGTAAAACCTGTTTGAAATTTACTTACAATG